GGGGGTTGTGGCGGTGGCTGAGTGATGCTGCCCTCTCCATCCGGCTCGGTGTCCTCCCTAGGTCATGGCAACAAGTGACAGCACTGGTTGCCAGGAGCTGGGTGGGATGCCGGCCAGAGTGTCCCAGGTTGCTAAGAGCTAAGCAGGGAGATGTGTTTGGCCCTTACATATTCTGCCCCCCCGACTCTTAGCAACCTGGGACACCTTGGCTAAAAAGAGGGCAGCAGGCACACTGCAAACATTGCATGCGGCCCCCCCATGTGACCCCATGTGACATGTGAGAGATGCTGTCTAAGCCAATAGCCTCAGGGACAGCCCTGGATGACAATACCTCCTGAAGTAGACTCAGTTTCTCCAACTCCCATTGATGATCAAGGATTAAGCTGTCACTCCTTGGCCTCCAGCCTGCAAGGTTCTCTTCACCCCGTACATATGCCACAGATGTGTCCAGTACACGTCTGCGTCTCCTCTGCATCCCTAGGGAGCCATCATAGAATAATAAACAACATATATATTCATAGACTAGTTATTAGATGGGCTGGTTGAGATGAAGGGAGCTTATACACAAAAGGGAGAACAATTCTTGTTGCCATAGCAAACTGTTTCCAGTGATATTTGAGATCATGAAAATTGGAATCTGATGGGTTGCTGTGTTCAATAAAACACTTCAAATTACTTTTTTTATATCAGGCTACTTTTTTTTATCTCTCAATATATGACAAATGATCCTAGAGAGTAGAAAAACAGCTCAGATATGAAATCATGCTAGTTCCTTAGCCTCAATGAAACAGTCATTTGCACTTCAAACCAATAGCCAATCAACTCCAAAAATAACCTTCCAACCATCAACTTATAATTATATATTAATATTGATATTTTTTTATCAGAATGCGATGGTCTTTAACAACAACCATTATGTGTGACATACTATCATTCTTAATTAAACAAGATTACTTATATAAGTGTAATGTTTAATATTTATAAACAGGTAAAGGATACCTGGACATGTATGTAACAAGACTATACACCCTCTTCCTCCCCAGCTCTGCAGCAATACACTACGGAGCTCATGAATTAACGTTCTGCCCAGCATATAGCTGGACGAATAACATTCGCAAAGCATTCCTGCCACTAGATGGAGCTGAGGAGCATAGGGTTAAAGGGTCCTAGTGACTAAAGTTAGACTAGCTAAGGTCAAACAGCTGCCTCTTTGTGTGAAGGTAACAGGAAAAACTGAGAATTTAATGATATGTTTGTTAAAAATAAAACATTTTATGAGACTGCTGTAGCTGCTAGTGTGTTGAGCAGGTATAATTTAACAAGAATAAGAGTAGTAATAAAAAGTAACCACTCACCAGGACTGCTGGCCTCTACAACTCGGCAAAGACTGAGCTCATAAACGCCTGTCACGCGGTTACTGTACAAAAAGGAAATCTCTGCTGTCATTTAAATTACAGACATCATTTCTCAATAGGTGTCATCTGTCAGGCTTTAATAGAATTGTACAGCCTAAAATAAACTGTAGCTCTAGAAGCATACCCACAAACGTTCTCTACCGTAGTTTCTTCTCTTAATTTCTGATATTGTCCCTACAAAAAACTTCACTTAACTCATGGCCATCCCATATCTTCCACTCTTCTCACCAGCCTCGCTTCTTCTGAGAAACTCTCTTCTAATGCCCTCCAGCACTCTCTAACCAAGTGCACCCCTAAAACCCACCTCTACAGGCAAGCATATGATCTGAGATAAATGATTCTTCTCCATCAACGATCAATCTTCCATGCAGTAGAATTTAGGATTCTTCTAAACAGCAGAAAACAAGACCCGTGGCCAGACTGTCAATCTGGTAATTTAAGAGAAGGGCTAGTGCATTTAGAAGGGTTGGTATGATATCTGGTGCGCTGCTCAGCTGCAAACAGACTGAGGTAAAGAAATGTATGTCATAATAATAGGTTTACAAAGCCCTGGCCTTGTACTAAAAAGAAAAGAGAAATATTTTATGTGTCTGGGCACCTTTTCAGGCCCAGTCTGGCACTGATGGTGTCAGGAATGTATGTTCAATTAAACGCTAAAGAACTCTAATATTGTGAACTCACCTCTCAGAAGCTCGCAGGCTTCCTGCACCGAATAGGTTTCGAATTGAGCGACAAGCTGGCAGTTTGGCATCTCGAGAATAAAAGACCATACAGAAGTCTTTGGTGATTATAGCTGGCTGAGTGCAATTCTCCAGCTGTGGAAAAAAATATACATTTTTAGGACCGGCTAAATGCACTGTAGATTTTTAATCAAAAGAGCTACCATATGATCCAATGGTAACCTATCTTACAATTATGAAACACATCCATTAATACAGTCATATTGCAATTTGACTTTTGCATGGAACCAAGGTGCTCATGCCTGTTTTAAGTGTATCCAGGTGTCAATGTACCATTTTATGAGCCCCAAAAACTATAACTAGTTGTATGTATAGTAGTTATACAGTAAATGTGGAGGCAAAAACTGCTCCCTGAACACCTTTGGGAATCTAACTTACACGTGACCAACACCGTTTTTGACCCTACTGAGGGCCCTCATAAACAGATTTTTTGGTAACTACTAATTAAAGAGGTGTGGCTTAGTGTTGTCTATATATTTATTTGAGGCTGATGATATATACCATAATCTATGCAGCACACACATGTACTGTGATGCTGATATTGGTATCCCAAGTCTCACCTCTACATAAGCAGACAGCGTCATATATATCTTCTCTCTATAAGGAGTGACACGATTCAGCAGTATAGAGTTGTGCATAGAGCTGTCCCATGCCACTTCAAAATGATAGAATGTCCTGCCGTGATAGGAAATCATTTAATATACATGACATACATACATATATATATACATATCTCATATACACATAAGGCACAGACATTACACTGGGAACTTCACACCACACCAGCACCAGTCTCTGTTTACTATAATGTGTATACATTTTGTATCACCATGTTAGAGGTATTCACACCGATATAGTTGGTCACATTAACCAATCAGTTTCCGTGTTGTGTTTTTCATTACAAAGCAGAAAATGAATAGTGAAGTCTAGTTGGTTTTTAAGTGTAACATTCGTAGCTTATATTGCAGTCATCACATATTCAGCCTCAATAGTGTTATCTCCCCTCAAAAATCACCTCCTTCCTTTAAGCCATTCTCTATTGTTAAGACTAAAATTAACTTCTGGAAAACTCATATTTTAATTAATTAATTTACTAATACTTTAAAGCATATGCCTTAAAACAATTCCGAAAATTTTAAAAGTGTGTAATGCTGCCCGTAATCTGGTTATGACAGAATTTCAGTCATCCATTGACTCTGCCATGGTGGGTGACACTAAAGTATGGTGCATACTGTGCTGCCTTTAAGTACTTTTTTCAGTAATTGGTGCTCACCATTCCTGAAGGGTTAAATCCTGACCCGCCTGACTATAGCAAGCAATACTCAGAATGGATGTATCACGTGTAGATATTGGGCCAACTATGTGTTGCTTAACCCAAATTTGGTGGTAAGCAAAGCTCCAGATTAAGGGGGTTTGTACATTAGGAAAGGATAAGAATATATAATTTAACATTTCATAATGGATACAGCCATGCTGTGGGGTAATAGAGCTATGTTAAACTGATTTATAGTAAACAGAGATTTAAGCAGAATACTGCTATTCAGACTACACCAAACAGGTATTACACACTGATCAACAAATATCTATAGTGTATATTGATACACACACTAAAATCAGCTTATGGTGGCCTTTGGTCCACAATATTTGAGAAAGTCCCGGATAAGCTATAGAATGTTCTTTGGAGGAAAAGCCCATCTGGGGTGGAGCTTAGAAAGCCAAGGGTTATACGCTTTCAGGTTCAAAATATAGTATATACATTTCTGCTGTAAGGACCATAGGTATTATTAACTGTACAATTCTACAAAGAAGGCCTTAGATTTGTACTCAGCACTGGAAAGCATACAGAGGGCTGGTGTATAAAAAAAACATTATTTGTTCTTCGTCTAGCTCAGGCTTGAAAGCTAGCACCCGTCTGTCAGCTATGGACAACAGCTCCATTTTTTCTGAGTTTCATTTTATTCAATAAGTTTAATGGACTGCTACTGAATGTGTATCAATATACAACAATAGTACTTCACAATAGTAAAACAGTAACTAGTAAAACAGCAAAAGAGGAGGAAGGAAAGAAGAGGGGAGATGAGGGATAGATTAGAGAAGCCGGGAAAACACAAGGTATAGAGGGGCCAGATCATGACCTGATTGAGGATTAGAAGGAGACAAAAGTGATGAAAATGTGGATGACAACAATGCATCAGATTGAGGTACAAAAAACAAGAGATGAGATGTATGGGAATATAGGGGAAATTATAGATGTCTAGGCCTAAGTAAGGTGAAAACCAAAACATTATTTCCTCCAGCGGTGGAATAGTAAAATAAACTCTAAGGTGAGTAGCATAGCACTGTTACAACTAGGAATGAAGACAAGCAACTATACACAGATTATGCAGTGACAGATTCATTATACTCCAGAAAACATCTAGTCAGTCAACAAGCATTGTGGAAATAGGGAATATGAACAAGAATGTAAGCACTGAAGGTAGAGAAGAGACAGACAATGGGAACAAGGGCAGAATAACTGAAGTGAGTACCTGGTGCCCAGCACGGAGTGGCTGCTGAAGGTAGGAGCCCCAAATATAGAGTGAGAGAGTGTGAGTGACAGTACAAATCAATGGTGGGGCATGGGAGGGTCATGTAATGCAATGCATGGAGGGAGAAGAATCACAGCTGACAGAACCCAGAAGATTTAAGCCTAGCATGCTACCAGGGACCACTGACATAACTGAGACAGTACATTAAAGCAACATTCGGCTGTCTGAGAATTCACTAGGATTTAATGACATTACTTCTATGCTTCAATTCCAGTGATTTCACATGGGTAGCTATTATAAAATAGGCCATCCGCAGTGAATAAAAATATATTTTAAAATGAATTATGTATAAGCACCACTGAACTTTAAGTTATTTGTGAATGGTGCTACAATTCATACACGATGTGCAATAATCTGGAAGTGTCTCTGTTGTTAAGAGATTTGCCGATCTATGAACAGCTTTTTTTAAAACAATCACTTTATTGTCAATATTTTAACAACAGAGATTGGCTGTCAAGCAATGGGATAGGCAGCTTAAAGGAAAACTATGACATGAGTGATTTCCACTCACCTCATAGTTCTAAGCCGACCTGTGACAATGAGACTGTCACAGGTCGGCTCTGTAGATCGGGAGGTGAGAGAACACATACCGGGTTCCCTCAACAGTAACCTTATTACTCGATTATCCACTGCCCTGCCCCAAAAACTAATATGTGGTAATAACAAACATCAGTTCTTGCAATGTTTCTTGGTATCCTCAAAAAGGCAAATCAGATATACTGTACAAAATACAACTGTAGCATTATTATCTTTCCACCTATGGATGAGTCTGCTACTCTTCAGCATCTAGTGTCCATTAATCTGCACACCGTCCTGGTTCTCCTCTGATTACACGTACAGATGTTACATGTTGCTCACCATTCATGTTGTTCTCCATCCAAAATGTGCTACACTCATGAGAAGTCTAAAGTTCCTGTCATGTAACTGCCTGTCCTCAGCCAGTGACATCTGGCATGTAACTTCCCCAAAATTTGCTTGATTTTTGGGATTTTTGGCTGCTGTTTTTAATCTCAGTTTATAAAGTGTGACAACTTTTATAAAACAAAGAGAATAAATAGAAAAAAAGTGCTGAAAGCAATTAACATGTGCAGGGATGCCTTCTCTCACCCATGTTATTTGCTATCTCATTGGAAAAAACAGGATATAAATGGCATTTTCCTTGGTTATTCAGAGCACAACCTTGATGCTTACGTAGATGATATACTCTTCTTCATATGGCACCCAGAGACACCCCTTCCAGTTTTTGGGAAGTATCACTGCTTATTCAAATCTAAGATCTATATGGGTAAATTCAAGAGTTTGAACAAAAATACTTCTACAGAGAGAGATAAAATTTTAGAAACCAACTTTCCATTGCAATGGAAAAATAAAAAATACCTGCCCTAAAGCATCAGGGCATCCACATAACCTCTAATATCACCCCACTCTAGAAAAGACTTGAAGGCCACCTTGACTCAATATACTTCCCAGCATACTGTTCTACAGGGAAATGTTACTACTAAATTTCAAACTGTATTTGTACTTCTTCATCTATCAGGAAACAAACCCAGGATCATATTGTGATCCATACCTAAATGTGGCCAAGGTCACTTTGGACTGCCTCACATCTAAATATGCTGTCTAGACTTTAGACTGCTTGTTTCATAGTTCCCAGAAAAAGATGGGTTTCAATTGAACTAGAGCTCAGCAAATGCTCATTATTATTTGGCACAGAATTTTACATATCAACCTTGGCCCTTAACTACTCACAGTACTGCCTCTAGAAAAGCTGCACATTACATTTTCATTCTTCTCTTTATTGCTCATCAGGATCTCCATTGTTTCCTCTGAGGAAGGATGATCACGCCATCAGGCATTGGACCACTGAACCACAGAAGGTCTTTGTTGATTGTTACTTCTCATTGCTCTGAGATGATGTAAGGAGGGAACGCACCTTTTGGACTACTGAAGGATACATTCAACCAAAGAAATGAATGCGCTTAAACAGTGATTTTATTCTGTGGACCCTCCAAATACACTGTGTGCCCCTCATCTACAAAAGTTTGCTTAACCTTGAATATCCTGGGTTTCACAGATACTTGATAGAAAGGGAAAGGGTGTTTTGTTACAAACTAACAGACAAAAGTATAATATCCTCTCATTAACTCATTGTCCTTGATAAGTTCTGCACCAGGCCAAATGTTGTAAAGGCTGTGGCTTACCCTGCTCCTTCCACCTCCTATGGTTGGACCATACATTTTTCCTATTGGAACCTTGTCTATAGATGTTTTAAAATATATTATCAGGCTAGATTACCCATGTTTCTGCAGAATGACATGGTGAGGACAAGGGAACTCTGATAGGCATAGTGCATTTTGGATAAGAGGTCAAGGTAAAGCAGACACACAGCATGATCTAGAGTTCTAGTTCATAAACTGTGCAGAGCTGGACCTTTGTGTTAGGTTGGTGGACATTATATGCTAAAGACTCAATTGCAGGTGGTGAGATAATTATGCTATAGTTTAATTGGGTGTATCTGGACTTTTTGAGCATAGTTTCTGCGGGAACCATAGATAAGTATTGATTTCTGGTGATCTCCTAGCAATCTGTGTTCATATTTACTGAAGTAATAATGCAGGGTAACCAGTGAATCCTTTTAAAGGGAAAGTATAGTGGATTTGTATGTATTTTATTTAATTAAGTATTTTATCCAGTCAGCAGGTAGATCTCTAGGCTCCAATGACTCCTTGCTCTTTCTTCCAATCATCAGTTGTTTACAGAGATTAATAGCTCAGGGTGAAATCTACACATAGAACTTTATAAGTCAGAGCAATTGCTCATTCCTTAGAGGGTTCAGTCTAAGGTTTGATTGACAGACAGGAAATCTGAAAAAGGAATTTTTTTTCTGTGGTCTCACCCACAGAGCTCTAGGAATTCTTTGTCAGTAGTAAATGTTTATTCGTAAAACAAATAGTGTATATTGATTGAGATTTTAGGTGGCATAATTAAACAACTTTGTGGGCTATTTTAAAGCATCTACACACACATATATATGGTTATCTGCTGTTGTTACCGATGGCTGTGCATATATACACACATTTTGATGGGAACCTGTTTTTCAAATTATCATGTTCTATGAGGATCATCTTATTTTTATTGACTTAAGATGGACTGCTTAGGATGGTTCCTGTGTTCAACAACTATTGAGTTTCAAAAGACACATTGCTCCCTTATTGATGAAATGACAAAATATTGTTGCATAGCTATAAATTATAATTTTTCTCCTCCATTATGCATGCATTAGGCCAGGTACTCATGGACATTAGGTGTTATATCCTAACAGCCCATCAAATGAGGGCATCACTGATTTCCCATATTAGTGACTGCCGCATCATAGACATCAAGTGAAATTGTTTGAACATGGTCTTATGTAATTTAGTTTCAACCAACAAATGCTTATATACTCTAGTTACAACTAATACATGCTCAAATTGGAACTAACCTATTAGCGTTTGATGAGCATTTCAGACACCTTTTAGAAGAATTTTACTGTGTTCGGTTTCATCATTCCCTTTCAGTCATAAAAAATAAACTACTTCCTAATATCCACAATTCTTCTCTTACTGCAAACATTGCTAGTGGGTCACCTTAATGGTTATTCAACTAGTGATTTTCCACGGAAATCTGCAATGGCAGCTTCAATATGTTTGTCACAATAGGATTGCTTTTTTGCATTTACAAGCATTTCTAAACACAAAGCTTATGAAATGCTTGGCTAAACCCAGGAAAAGTATATGTATATCTAAAAAGCATTTAGCAGAACATTAATGGAAACCTATACTGGTTTCCCTATACTAGATTATACTATAGGAGAATAACCTGGCTGTCATGCTGATCCAATAATTTAATTTATTTTACCTTACTGCTCACTAGTTCTGCGTTAATTACTCATTACTCAGAAAATGTTAAAATCAGAGACAGCAGGCCAACTAGCATTTTCAGAAAATGATCAGCAATTGAAGCCCCCATGAGTTTTCTCAGTGCGGGTTTCCTTTATTTTTAAAGCCCATGAGTACCATGCCTTACTTGTCAATGGTTATACATATCTTCCTATATGATAAAAGGAGCATTTGCTAGGACCAGGGGAGGGGTAAAAGGATCAGATTAGTAAAAGTGGGGACATAACTTCTGGGTAAGAAGGATGTAATTCATGAACTGCATAACCTGATGTAATGGTGGAACAGAAAAAAAAGATTAACAGCCAGTGGAGGGTGGTACAGAGGGAAGAAGAAGACCAGGGCAGAAAGGACAGTATAAGGAAAAAGGGGTTAAGCTGAACAGCAGTTTGAGGAATGATTAAAAAAAATAAAATACCTAGGTGTGTCAGAATCAAGAAACTGCCTGAAACACAAATAATGAGACATTAGCGTTTCCATAAGGGCATGGAAAACCTCAGCCCCCAAAGTCCCCAACACATTCATCCAAAGATCTTCAGCTCAGCCAATGGACACGTCTTAGTAAATATATTGTTATTATTGTCTCCCTTATTTGATCCCTAAGGGAAGCATATGAACCTCATTCTAGTGAGGTGCTTAAGTGAGGTTAAGAGCTGCCAAGATGGGGAATTTTTTAGGCTACATGAATTAAAAGGAAATATACAGGATTACAAATGACAGGTGTGCGAGTGTGAGAGGAGTGAAAAGTATAGAATGGAATATAAAGAAGTGATGGTCTGTGGGGAAGAAGTTAGAGATTATGTGAACATGACAGAGGATAGGCTGTGAGTCAGGCTTAGAATGACAGGGACCACTGGGGGACAAGGGGAATTGTTATAATGGATAAGGTAGTTGGAAGGTACAAGAACAATTCTCTGGGAGGGTGAAGGTCCTAAAGATTGTGCCTAGGGTTAGGTGGACATATGAGGGAGCAAAGGGAGATCAGGTGAGGGAAGCTCATGCTCAAGTTTCTTCTTTTCATTTGTAACAAAGAGAGAAAAATCATACACATTCTTTCCATAGACTAAAAATCATACACATTCTTTCCATAGACTAAGTCTTATCAAATTATCATGTTATACATGCTAACAGTCCACACTCAATCCTCTCATAACATACTAATCCATCTGTAGCCATCTGCAGCCTCCATATGTCCAAGAGACTACTTACCGGTCACCTCCCTCTGGGGGGCGATACCCTGCAGACAGGATGTTTAAGGACAGGATGTTGGGGTCAATTAGAGACTCATCAGCCTCTGGTGTATTCCTGATTCTCCCTGTGATAAAACAGGAATGTTTTTGTTGTTCAAGATATACTGCAATTTGAACATAATTTGTAATATTATGGAGCCACTAAACTCTATATTCTCATATTAACCAACTGCTTAGGACATATTATGGTTTTAATTATATAACACTGAGCAATATTTTAGAAGACTAGTGAAGAAACACAAATCTCTTCAGTAGAGTCAAATGTGTACCCCAGTAAAAGAAATGTTATGAATGCATTACCATGGGAATACCATGCATGAGACGCCTTTACATATTATTGCTGCATGTCTGAGGCTTTTGGTTCCCTGTGCTGCTCAAAATAGTCCTTAGCAAAGTAGCCCCATCACCTTTTATGAGGTGGCTACTACAAATTTAGTGATTTCCAGGGCTGAAGTCAGTCTGGCTGGATTATAGTTGGCATTTATCTGGTTAATTCCAGGTGTCTGACATTGACTGTTCTTACCTGGATTGAGTGTGACTCTGCTGTATTGTGGGACAGCCAATGAGGGACACTGTAAGTGTATGTACGGTACAGCAGCCAATCACGGTGTTTCTCTCAATCAGTGGTGCATGCTGGGATAGGGTACATATACTGGAGGTAATTGCCATGTGCTCAGTCGAGTTCAGTTCGGGACCAGCCATGGATTAGTAAAGGCCTGGATGCTGTCCAGCTACCCGCCAGGCATGGCCAGAGGCCTGGGGGTGGGTAGAGGCTTGAGTACAGGAAGAGTTTCCCTAGTTATGGAGCAGGCCTGTGCTGTTGTCAGAGGAGGAGAACCAGGGAAGCTGATGGCCACTGGAGGTGTCTGGAACATAGAGGACACCTCAGGAGCAAGTCAGGTGTTTCTACCTGTGAGGATTTGTGCTTATTGCCTGCTCATCTGCTACTCAAATGACTTTTTACTACACTACAAAGGGATCTACACTGAGATGCTAAAAGGTCTGGTGAGTCTGGAGTCTGTCTGTACTACCTTGGATATCTAGAATCCCTATACCATCTCTCCCAGTGGGAAGATGTGAATAAAGGTTATTCAGCATTATACTACTGGAGTGGATATCAGCTTTGTGGGCACTAGAAGAGGGCAGTTAAATGCTATTGGGGCAGCTGAAGAAAAAAAAACTCCTAGACAACTAGTGATGACCTGGGTTATTTTGGCGGCTCCTTGGGGGGTGAGCGCTATAGCATCAATACATTAAATAATATATTCAAAACTGTGAAGTATTTATCATTGTGGTCTGTTTACCTACCTATACCAAATTATATATTCTCTCTTGTAATGTTATCATTTTTTTGTGTGTATGTAAAAGTCAATTTAAAAATCTGCACTTCAGCAACCTCACCAAGGTTTAGTAATGAACACACCCCAGTCTATTGACTGGGCAATCAAGAAGCAGCAGCCCACTGATTAGGTCATACCTGTGCTCTCTTCAACTGCCAGCATGTTCAGTGTCTGCACATGTGTATTACAGTAGAGCCTAATTGGCTGCACAACTGTTTTTAAATCCTCCAATAGTTTACCTTTATTGTTAGATTCTGTGAGGTGTATAGGAGGAGAAAATTGAATATTTTATGTATACTATATAGGAGACTTACTATATAGGAGATATGTAAATGACAAAATCTCATACAGACAAAACTAAAAATGCCATACTGGGAAAATACGGATCAGCAGAAGGTTTTGCAGGTAAAATATTAATGTGTGTCATACTAACCAGCCCTCTGATCCCAGCAATAGTTGGGACTTCAACAACCTCTACAAACTTACTGTATCATTATTCATCGTAGGATATTACTATTTCCAGGAAGTGGATACCTACCTACTACCAATTCCCGCACTTCCTGCCATTTCAGTTCTGCTCCTGCTTCATGCACAAGTGTTACTGAAATGCGCCTTTGGATGCCCTGCATTAGACAACATTTGTTTTAAAAAGGATATCAAAGGAATAATATCTAATTCAGATCAAAAATCTGGAAGGACAGATTACCTGATGCAGAAGGAATGTACCATGACAAGGTAAGCCAACACCATGATCTACTGCTACAGGTATATAGCTGCAAAAAAGAATGATAAGGTGTTATTGTGTAGCACTTCACTGGGTGGGTTCACCATGGATTTCCTGGCATGCTGAAAACCTAGAGTACCAGACAAAACCATTTTTTCTTTCTATCTCTTTACAGTATAAAAGGGTTAGAACTGCTATCATGTTTTATTGATATTTGCTCTATTAGAGAGATTTACCCTCACTTCCTGCACTGCTGGCAACAGTTTCACCAGACAGGAAGTGAGGGCAACTCTCCAACAGGGATATAGACATAAATAAAAAAAATCTGACAGGGGTTCTAGCTGTCCTCAAGCCTACTAAAAAAACTTTTCTAATTCTGTGTGTGTTGCTGTTTTTTCCCTAGCAGGGCAGTACGTGAGGGTAAATCTCTGTAAAGGAACCACAAATAGCAGTAAACACCTCACTTGGGTAACCCTTCCCCACTCTATCCAAAACTAAGATTTGGCTGGACATACATTGAAAAAAATCCTTATCTATGGGCTCACAGACAACAGTAAAAACCTGACAGAGGTTCTCACCCTTTCCCACTCTACCAAGAACAGTGCTAGAGAGACCTTTTCTGTACTTTTTGGCCTGATGAAACCAGGAGAAGTAAATACAAATTTCCCCAATAGAGGCATAAAGTAAAACAGAAAGAACTCACAGAGGTGCTAACCTATCCCTACTCTATTAAACACATTAGAAAAAGGAGAGAGAAATCTAAAAAGTGGAAGAAAATTATGTTGTTGGCATACGTTTTAAGATACATATAAGTGCATTCATTCAATCACTGGTAATGAAAAATATCTGTTTTTAGCTACTAGTTGGCATTTTTGGCTAAACATAAGAAATATAAAAGGAACTCACTCTCCATTTGCCTCCAGTTCACAGATTTGGAAGTATGCCATTAGATCATACTTGGAGTGGAATTGACCAGTACTGGGAACACGTTGCCTAGTTAACTTAGTGGCAGGAACTGAAAGAGAAAATCATAATTACCAAGGGGAAAAAAAATCTGATATGGATAATAAGGCAATAAATCCCATTGACTGGGGAAAATAATGGATATATCCTTCATGCTGATCAAGAACAAGCATTAGAAAGAACGGTCTTCAAAATCCGTCCAGTTCTGTGAGTGTCTCCCATTAATAAATGTCGGGATGAACCTGTTCTGGGGCAATGGAGGAAAGAATACATTGAGGGCCTGTGTTGTTGGGCTTCAGGCTTGAGTCCATGGCATACATTTTGACTTCAGTTTGAGATGCCTCTGGAATCTTTCAGAAATCATTGATGGGCTCATTTAACCTGAAGTTGAAGTCCTTCTGACTTGCATTTCACCTGCTTCAAGTAGGTTTTGCTTTCCCCCAGACTTGTAAGGGGAAAAAAACCCGCTAGAAGTAAACAAAAGTCTGCCAACACAAGCCCTTAAGCAATTGATTTTAAGAAATCCTAGACATAAATATCACACCCTTTATAGTATTAAAATGCACTATTACAAATTACAGATAAGTTGTAAAGCAAAGAACCAGTGACACATGCATCTCACTTCATATTACAATCCAAATCTCAAGAAGCACATAAAGGCTTATTCCATGAAGAAGCACAAAGTGCAATGGTGATGTACATAATGCAGTAAGCCCTAGTATCCAATAAAATCTCAGTTTAAGGAAGTCAATACAACAAAACGCCAAATGATTTTTTTTGGTTGCTGCACTTTACACAATGTTCTTTGGCTTATCAAATTATTCAAACCCAATGAACTCATTAGAAGACTTTCCTATAATTATATTTGATCCAGAATAATAAACAAGAGCTTAGTGATGTGTTGTTTACAACCAGAGCAAACCTGTGCTGCGTAAAACATACAAAACCTGAACACTGCCATGTTTCATATCATTGTGATAACAGGTCGAATCATTAAACAAAATCCCTGCCAGGATGTCATTCCATTTAATGGAAGGAATGATGAATGAAACTAAACTATATAAATAATCTCGTAAGAACAACTGGAATACATAGAATTCCTTGCTGTTTTAATTTTTTCCACAAGACTATATAGTGATTTCATGTAAAGGTAGGTTATCGATCAACAGTATATCTGCAAGTTATAAAAGGCAAATCTATATACTATACTGTGACTTCTAATCAAATAAATATGTGCTCCTACCCTATTAATTAACCAAAATAACAGCTGCAAGTGCTATTTAGTGATATATCACTCATAACATAGGTTTCTTACTCAGTGCACTGCGCTCACCCAGTGACAAAACACCCCACCTAACATATAACAATACAAAAATCATACATTTCCAAACCCAAAACTATTGTAAATATATTGTGTATAAAAGTCCAATGTACACATAAATATGTGATGTGTATATGTCCAATGTCCACCATGTACAATGTGCTCCCCAATCTGTGGCAAAATTCCAACGCTGTGAACTTCATAAAAAGAGCCCCTTGTGCTTGTAGAGCAGCTCAATTGCAAACAGTGTGTTCACACCGCATTCCACACCACCCTCACCAGAACAAAGATGGACCATATAAGATAAATGGTCATTAGCATTCAGTTATACTCCTGCAGCATCAATCCAGGTCCACAACAAGTTATTAATAGTATCCGATGTTCAACTATAAATCAGGTTTCTCCCTTTAAGTTGCAGTATTTCTATTTCTTCCTTTAAGCTGCACCTGATTTATAGGTGAACATCAGATAATCATAATTGTTGTATCTACATATAATGGTTGGTTTTGTTTTAGGAAGATTGGAAAAAAATCAAGAGGCACTGTATGCAGCACATGCACAGTATACACAGTACGGACTAAATGAGGGAAAGATGCATCAAACACTATCACAGCGAGACCAAAGTGAGTAAATGACCTTATAGGGCTCCACACGCACCAGGTCTCTGTGCCTTCATTACAGCACCAGTCATCCTTAACAGCGAAGGCTCTTGTTGTGGTTGTTCCTTTAGTGTGTTTAAAAGAGTGCTACCTATATGTTCTTCATCTGCAGACAGCACTGGAACCAGTGAACTCAGCATATGAAATGTGGAATGCAGGGCTGGGGGAAGAAATGGAGTGTGCAGGCCTAGGAATTGTACCAGTTAGGGTACCATAGGAGGAAGCCAGTAGTCAGGTGTAAAATCAGAGATTTTTTTAGATCAGTAAATAGAAAACACCAGTAAACAGAAAAGAAGAAGTAAAAGAAGATATACAGTAGATAAGAAACAAAAAAAAAATAGAATTGATTTGTTAAAACATAATTAGGAAATATACATATTGACTACAATTGTCTAGCCCTATACTGCATGCATTTAAAAAATTTTTTATGCAGAAATGGTTGGAATCATAGATAACCTAAATTGTTTTAGTTCTTGAGATCATTCTTGCTGACTGCCCTATCACAACAAAATGTAAATGCCAATGATCTGCAACTACTGTATATGTATTCCTAAGGTGTATAGTGCTAAAATACGTTAGGTAGTTGCCTATAACTGCTAAAATTCAACTAGGAGACATTCAAGGCATGGATGTGGGTGTGACAGACTTAGAATAGTAAGCTAGAGTTTCATCATCACAAGCAAATAATAATGTGGCTACTGTTCAATATTTTTGATCAATCCTTCACAATGTGAAAAAAATAAAATAAAAATATTTATATATATATATATATATATACACACACACACACACACACAAATCATTTT